CCGTAGTGGCTATGGGGAGGGGTAACAACAGAGGAGGCTGCAGAAGATGGGACCCAGAAGTGGGGGATGTTTGGAAAAATGAGAATAAGAAAAACGGGGTAGTCTCCCTTGGAGGCGGAGATGAGTAACTGCCATAGCATAAGGGAGACCTTCTGCCTCTTTGAGGCAACGGATTTCACGTTTTATTTAACCCTTTGGGGTTTTGGTCGTACTAGTACGTTTTACGCGTAGGGGTTTTTGACGTACTAGTATCATAAATTCTAGCGGCCTCAAATCTAGTGGGAGGAAAGCTGGTAGGCCTTCATATGAAAGAATGGGTCTATGTGGTCAGTGTGCACAGTGTAAAAAAATCCTGCAGCACACAGTGCATAATGAGAAAAAAAAAAATTTGACCATTTTTTTTAATAAATCAGCAACTTTGCAGTGTATTTTCCTATGGTATTTATTGTTGTTTTTCTAGTTTTCTTGGTCTCATTTTATAGAATGGAAGACATATTACAGAAATTGAGTGATTTTGACTGGTTTTACAAAGAAAGGTGCCCTTGAATTGAGCTCAAAGTAGCAGAAATGTTCGATTTTTACCAAACTTCAAAAGTAAACAAATCTGCCAAGCGTGCAAAAACACATTTAACTGGTGAGTTAATATTCTTTCACAAGTGCACCAATAATATTTATACCATTTTTTACACTAATGCAGTAGTTGCATAACAGTAAATCTTATATTTTTTGTGAGAATAAAAATTCAAAGTGGAAAGCAAAAGAATATAAGGGGGCCTTGAGATGTGACTAAAGACTAGAGGAAATGTCATTTTAGTGCCAGGAATGTTTTTTGTTTTTTTCTGGACCCCATTCGGAAATTGGCATCTCTTGAAATTTGTGTGAAATTGGCAAATTGCTTTAAAATTTTGACACTGTACTGGATAGTTGAATTTCTAAATGTGTGGTTTCTTGCACCCATTTTGAAAAGGGAAAAAATGGAGTTCTAGCGAAATATGCATGTTTTTTGTCGATAGTACAGTGGAAATTTGGGCCCAAAATGGGGCTCAAAGTGGGCAAAATCGCCGATGCGTAAACATCGCCGAGACCGCTAACTTTTTCGAGAGCATAATTCCGTAAATTTTCTATCAAATTTCAAACTTTTGGTTGTCTTTATGATCGGGGAAAAGATTCTCTATCTTTTCATAAGAGAAAATAATTTTTTTTTTTTTTTAAATTTTGGCCGACCCTGAGGAACGAGTTTTCGGAGAGGGCCTGTCGACCCTCAAAGGGTTAAGTAGACCTGGCAACGGCGGGAGTACGAAGGGTGAGCTTCATTCAATTAAGGCAAGATGGAGGTTGACTGCAAGATGTATTAGAATGGTTTTTCGGCACCCCCAGACTGGGCATTCGGCCATAGATCTGCAATATTTCGCTGGGTGACCCAAAATGCCAGCAATTTCTACATTGTTGCGGTGTAGGTATCACCTTCGAATTGTAAACCGATGTCCCGCGACATATACAGAGGACGGAGTTCTCGGCTGTCAAAGTTAAACGAGCCACATTGCAAGGTAACGTCTCCGCCCCCGGGCAGGAAGGACATAAGTGTCTACTTTGGGATTGGGAGATCCTGGAGTTCCAGCTGTTTAAAAATGTCATTGCCAATGACTGGAAATTCTGTTGGACTATGGTATGGGGGCAGAATGACAGTACCCCTACAAGAATTGAGAGAAAAATGTTTTTCAAAAGTGACAGGAGTAGTATCGATATTCGAAAGGAGAGGGAAAAAATCTGAGCTTGGGTGCATTCTGGACAGTGACGATGCGCTTTCCGCTCTTGAGGCATGAAATGAAATTCTTACCAACATGACGCAGGAGCGCTTTGCCAATACTTGGTCAGAAAGGTAGGCAGAAGAAGAAGTCGGTCTTAAAGTAAAGAATTTAGTCCATTGTGTGGTCCGAAACTGAGCGTGGAGAGGGAGTGCTTGACGTGTCGGTCTTTTCCGTATGAATGGGAAGGTAGCGAAGGAGCATCATCAGGAGATTGACGTTGGCGTTTAGGAGTAGGACCCGGGGTTGGTCCGGCGTGAAATGGGCGGGCGATTCGAAAAAATTTCCGTACCCTAGAGGAAAAAGCCGGAAGCATAGTCAAAGGGAGAGCGGAGTTTTAGACAATCGAAGGAGTCAGTCGAAGCCCGGTACCTGAGCGGGTGAGGAAACAGCACCCGCAAGGGGGTGGGCATCAGGAGTGTCCGAAGAGTGGTCTAAACACAAGGCAGGGTCAGAATGGGGTGCGGTATCAAGAAGGGGCCCGGGGGTAGTGGGTTCATGGACTAGGGCTGCCATGGTTAGGTTACTCCTTTGCTTTTTGTTTTTAAGAAAAAAAAAGAAGAAAAAAATAAAAAAAGAATAAAAAAAGGGGGGAGCGGGGAGGAATAGTTCCCAGGAGGAATGAAAGGGCCGGAAATCTCCCTCCGCGCCCAAGAGGACCTCAACACTGCTAGTAGCGCAGATGCAGCATGGAACCCGTGCCATACCCTACCCTTCATGCCAGTAAACCAGCAATCCGGGATAGCAACCTCACATCTGCCGAGCTACCTCGGTGGACAAAAGAGAGGGCGGCCGGATATCCGCCACAAAGCATACCTCCTTCGGCCACCACCCCCGGAATCCGAAAGGTGGCTTCCAGAGATACACCCGTCGCCCGAAAGACACCCAAAGCTACTCCGGGATACCGGAGAGGGATCGGGACATCCCCAGGCAATCCAGATTCCACGGCAAACTACGCCACCGCCAAGAACCTCTAACGGAATGGGATGGACCCCGGTGTTCTTTCCCCTACCTAGGAACTAGCGTGCCTGTGGGAGAAATCCCAAAGGCCAAAAAGAGGAAGGGCAAAAGGGAGGGGTGAGGAGGAGGAGGAGGAATGGAAAAAGGGGAGGATGGGATAGGGGAGGGGAGAATGGGGGGTAATTAGGTTCGGTCTGAGGAAGAAGACCGACAGGGCTAATTCCTCAGACCAAGAGCCTCTTCACCACGCCAAGGAGCCCCCCTTAAAGAGGTGCTAATTTAAATAAATTTGGCAATGGCAGGACTAAGATGAGTGAGCCTCATGGCAATTAAGGCAATAGGGAGGTAGACTACAAGACGTATTGGTATGGTCATCGGCACCACAGACTGGGCATTTGGCCGTGGACCTGCGGTATTTTGCTGGATGACCAAAACGCCAGTAATTTCTACACTGTTGCTGTGTAGGAATCGCCTTTCGAATTTTTAAACGGTGTCCTGCAATATAAATAGAGGATGGAAGCTCACGGCAGTGAAAAGTTAAGCGAGCTACATAGCAAGGTATCATCTGCACTTGCAGGCAGGGAGGACATAAGTGTCGACTTTGAGGATTGGGAGATCTTGGAATTCAAGCTGTTCCAGAAGGTCATTGCCACGTCTGGTAATTCTGTTGGACAATGGTATGGGGTAGAATGACAATACGACTACAAGAATTAGGGAATGTTTTTCAAGTTACAGGAATAGCATCGATAGTTGTAAGGAGAGAAAGCTCGCAAGCTTGGCTAGCATTCTGGACAGTGATGATGGGTGTACCACTCTGGGTGTACCATTGTGTAGTTTGAAACACAGCATGTAAGGGGGGTGCCTGATGTGCTGGTCTATTCTGAGAATGAGAAGGAAGCGAAGTAGTATCATCAGGTAATGATCTTGGGTGTGGGACTGGAGTTGGTCTGACATTGGACAGGCGGGCGATTCTAAAATTGCCGCACTGTAGAGGGAGAAGCCGGAAGCATAGTCAAAAGAGCGGAGGTCAGACGTATCAAAGAAGTCAGTCGAAACACAGGTACCAGCAAGAGGTACGGGGGCATTAGAATGTCTGAAGAGTGGTCAAATAATGAGGCAGGGTCAGAACAGGGTGCGGTATCAGAAAGGGGCCCAGAGGGAGCAGGTTCGTGGATTTGGGACTCCATGGTTATGTCACTTCTTTCTTTTGTCGTTTAGAAAAAAAAAACGAAAAAGAAAAAAGGGGGGAACATGGAGGAATAGCTCCTAGGAGGCAAATAAAAAAGGCCGTAAATACCCCTCCACGCCTGAAAGGACCCCAGCACCACAAGTAGTGCAAATGTGGCATGAAACCTGTGCTATACCCTACCCTTCATGCCAGTAAACCAGCAATCCAGGATGGCAACCTCGCATCTGCTGAGCCACCTCGGTGGACAAAAGAGAGGGTGGCCGAACACCCGCCATAAAGCATACCTCCTTCAGCCACCTTCCCCTGGAATCCAACAGGTAGCCTCCAGATATGCACCTGTCGCCTAAAGACACCCCCCCCCCCAGGAGACCGGAGAGGGATTGGGACACTTCCAGGCGATCCAGATTCAATGGCAAACTACACTACCGCCAAGGACCTCAACAGAATGGGATGGACCCCGGTACCCTTCCCCTACCTAGGAACTAGAGTGCCTGTGGGAAGACTCCCAAAGGCTGAAAATAGGAAAGGAATAGGGGAGGGATGGGGAAGAGGAAAGAAAAAAAAAAAAAGGGAGGATGGGATAGGGAAGGGAGAATTGGGGGGGTAATTAGGTTCAGTTTGAGGAAGGAGACCAAAAGGTCTAATTCGTCAGACCAAGAGCCTCTTCACTGTGCCAAGCTGTATAGCCCTTGTGGCTTAGCACTTCTTTTTGATTATAATAATAATTCACTGTGCCAAGGAGCCCCCCTTGATGAGGTCTGCTCTTGTAGTTATAAACAGGTATTATTATTATAATCAAAAAGAAGTGCTAAGCCACAAGGGCTATACAGCTATAACCCCTCAAGGAAGGTTCCTTGATGTTGGTGAGGGGCTCTTGATTTAGAGAATTGGATCTGTGCTCCAGTTCCCCGAATTAAGCCTGAATGCCTTCCACATCCCCCCCCCCCAGGCGCTGTATAATCCTCCGGGTTTAGCGCTTCCCCCTTGATTATAATAATAATATACAGCTATAAACAGGTAAATGTTCATTAGGAAACTAAAGAATCTTTCCAATTTTAATGTTTATTTTTCAAATAAATGGATGAGATTATCAACCATACACAGGCACTAAACCCAAATGCAGATTTAAGATAAAGTGTACTGCTTATCTAAAGTTTCCCCTCAAGGAAGGTTCCTTGATGTTGGTGAGGGGCTCTTGATTTAGGGAATTGGATCTGTGCTCCAGTTCCCCGAATTAAGCCTGAATGCCTTCCACATCCCCCCCCCTCAGGCGCTGTATAATCCTCCGGGTTTAGCGCTTCCCCCTTGATTATAATAATAATAAAGCAAAATAATTCCACATTTTGAACTACAGTACTACATTATATCAAACCTATTTTACGAGCTGCTGGTACCCTCAAGGAAGGTGCTTTGAGACTGGTGAAGCTAAGATCTTTGAGGGAATATGAGCTTCCTTTCCCCTCTTAATTCACATTTTACCTCAAGTGAGGCACCATGATGCTGCTTAGGGTGTTTGTGATCTCAGGAAGTGGACTTATCCTCTTCTTCCTTGAACCCCACCTGATTCACTCTTATTCCACATACTAAACAAGCTGATGCCCTGCCTTGGCTCAAACCTGAATGCCTCAGTCAGGTGGTGCATGATCCTTATGGGTTTAGTGCTTCCTTCTGATTATAAATGGGAATGTCTTACACTAATACTGTTTGCAGCCTTATTACACTTATGGGTTTAATGCTTTCCTTGAGTGTAATACAACAATATTGTTTGCAAACAAGAGGACAGTCCAGTATAAAACTGATTTCACTGGTATTTTGCTTTCATAAATTTCATGCAGGTCAATTAACAATAAGAATTAATATTTAGTAGAACTCCAGAAATTCTAGCTGAATTTTAAATATTTTATATATTTTTTTAAACTAAGGTTGTAATCTAACTGCTTTGGTACCAGGTTTTGCTAGTTTCAATATAACCCTTCAATATACAGTCCTGTATAAAGCTTAGAGAACAACCTGTATAGGTAAGCTATTTATTTAGTTAATTTCCACATTGTATAAATATGACATGGTGAAAATTAAGCTTACATTACCAACTTAAAGTATTAAAGTTTGTACTAAGTATATAATCAGCAATGTTCTTGTCACAACTGGTGAACAATCATAAATTAGATCACATTTAGCACTAGTTTTCATAGCCACATACAATCATTACATAAAGCTTGACAGGTGATCACATTCCTTTATTCCTTTCTTTTAGGTAAAGATGTAAGAGGAGAAAAAAAAAAAATCGTAATCAAAATGAAACAAGTGGTAATTAGGGAAATGAATACAGTGCATTAAATTCAGAAAAAGAACCAAATTTCCATAATACATTCCAGATTGCTAATTATTTCTAAAATGTTTAGTTTACTAAGTTCTCTTTTATCCCCATAATCTCCAATGAAACTAAAACCTCAACCATCACTACTAAAGCCTCCCCCAAAACCTCCACGGTTGCCCCCAAAGCCTCCTCGGTTACCACCGTAACCTCCACGGTCACTGCCAAATCCTCCTTGGCTACCACCAAATCCTCCTCGGCCACCACCGTAACCTCCACGGTTGCCACCAAATCCTCCTCGGCTACCACCGTAACCTCCACGGTCGCCACCATATCCTCCTCGGTTACCACCATAACCTCCAAGGTCGCCACCAAATCCTCCTCGGCTACCACCATAACCCCCACGGCTTCCACGACCATAGCCCCTACCACCTGCAAACCCACTGTTGTTGCTGTAACCTCCTCTGAACCCTCCATTGCTATCTCCAAAACCACCTGTGGAAAGAAAAACATTACAAGCTTTCAGATATTTTCAGTGAACCAGTTAAAGCAAAATGTGAAGACTGATACTGATAATTGCTGCCAAGTTTAGTTGAGTTGAAATTAATGATAAACAAAATGTGCCACTGCAAAAATTTAAGTACGTACTAAAGCTAACCACCAATGTGAAGAGCTGTTTCTTATATTATACAAACTCAAGTTTTATTACCTGGACCATCATCTGTCCTCATTCTCTTCATCTGTGGTCCACCAAACTGACGTGGTGGTCTAGGCGTGTTAAAACCTCCCATACCAATTTGTTCCATGTTGTAGCGGCCTGCATTCATGCGGCACAACTGGCGAATGCAGTTCATTACCTGAAAGATAATTAAAATATCAGAGTACTGAAAAGAAAGTCATCCTTGAGAACAAAACCAATATTAATGACTTTAATTAGCCTTGATTCCTTGAACTTAACAATTTCTGCTCAGGAGAGGGGTTCTTGATCCAAGAAACTGTATCTGCTCCAATTCTTTGACTCAAATGTGAATGCTGCCTTCCATTTTCCCAGGCAGTTATGATCCCTACCAGTTCAACATTCTACCCATGACTGTAGTAATAATGTATTCAATTTCTGCCTCTAAAGCAAACTATTACAAAAAATCCAGCTAAAATGCTCACCATCACATAAATATTATAAGCACACAGTAGAGTAAATCAAGTAAAAATAAAACTTTCCCAAAACTGCTAGAATAACCTTAATTTAGAAAAAGGAGATCCTTATACCATAAACAACTATCATTACATTTCTAATTTACTGATAGCAATAATATCTGAGAAGATAATGCATACATATATTCTTATAGTATATCTTATGTAGTAAGTTGGTAGACAGCAACCACCCAGGGAGGTGGTACTACTGTCCTACCAAGTGAGTGTAACTCGGAAGCCTGTACTTAGTTTTACATGATAGTAGGATTGCTGGTGCCTTTTCTCTGTCTCAAACATGCAAGATTTCAGGTACGTCTTGCTACTTTGACTTACACTTAGGTCACACTACACTTATATTTTCATCAACACTTTCACCTCACTCACACATAATCACTGTTTTTGCAGAGGTGCTCAGATACAACAGTTTAAAAGCATATATAAAGAGATATAACATACCTCCTCCAAACTTGCATGTACAAGCATATATATATATTCACCCATCTGGGTTTTCTTCTATTTTCTTACTAGTTCTTGTTTATTTCCTCTTATCTCCATGGGGAAGTGGAACAGAATTCTTCCTCCATAAGCCATGCATATTATAAAAGGCAACTAAAATGCCAGGGAAAGGGGCTAGTAACCCCTTCTGTATAAATTACTAAATCTAAAAAGAGAAACTTTCGTGTTTCTTTTTGGGTCACCCTGCCTCGGTAGGATACAGCTTTATGTTGAAAGAAGAAAGATTCTTATATATAACAAGTGTAAAATACTAACTCCATGGCAGATACAATAAACATACCAAACAACTTCTAAACAGCACTGAAGAATTATGGACCCAGAGGTCACTCATTATTGTACCCAATCCTACTTCAGTAAAAGGCACCAATGACCAATAAATATTGGCATGCATCAGAGAAGCATTCTGGGTCTTCCATTTCTCCTTTATATCAAATGTTGCCCATTAACTCCAACACCTTTCACTAATGCTATTGCCTTTGCAATAAACAGTCTATAAAAGACCTATTACTATTTGATGATAAAATGTTACTAAACATAGCAAATACATAAAACATGAGTCAAAGTGACAGACTTCCACCCAAACAAATTGAAATTTAATACTTGCATGTAAAAGACTGCAAAAAAGTATCAAAACTGTAGTTATGATCTCAACGATAAGCTATTATATATCCTGCTCTTCAGTGCTAATACTTTCATTCACACAACAAGGAAAGAGGTAAGGAAACTTTTGATGGACCTGGATACATCAAAGGCAATAAGCTATGAGGAGGCACTAACAAAACTGAATCTAATGACACTGCAGGACAGAAGAACCAGGGTACACATGGCAATATATAAAGTATTCAAAAGAATTGATGAGGCAAACAGGGACAGGCTGTTTGAGAGGCAAGAAATGGTATCACTGCATGATACATTGATACTTTTGACATTTCATGTGCATTTTCATTCCTTGTTTATGTCACACCCTATGTAGTATGTATGTTCAACACATTGGCCATCTCTCACTGAGGCAGGGTGACCCAAAAAACACACACGATCAGTCTTTGCACAGGCACTCAGATACGACAGTTCTGTATGTCACAGTAAATATCCCTAACCTCTCATTTAAAGTGCAGGCATTGTGCTTCCCACCTCCAGGACTTATGTCCGGCTAACTGGTTTTCCTGAATCTCTCGCAAAATATTTCCTTGCTCACACTCCAACAACTTGTCAATTCTGAAAAACCATTTATCTACATTCACTTCCATCTAACACGCTCACATGTGCCTGCTGTACGTCCAAACTCCCTGCACACAAAACCTCTTTTTACCCCCTCCATACTTCCCTAGGATGACCCCTACCCTTCCACTACAGATTTATACACCCTCCAAGTCATCCTATTTTGCTCCATCCTCTCTAAATGACCAAACCAACTCAACACTACCTCAGAGATCTGAATAATACTAATAGTAACTCCAAATCTCCTCCTAATTTCCACACTACAAACTCTCTGTATAATATTTACACCACGTTGCCCTTAGACATGGCATCTCCACTGCCTCCAGCCTCCTCCTCGCTGCAGCATTTACGACCCATGCTTCATACCCATATAAGAGTGTTGGTACCATTATACTCTCTACATTCCCTTCTTTGCCTCCATATATAATGCTATTTGTCTCCACAGATACCTCAATGCACCCTGCACATTTTTTCCTTCAATTCTATGGTTTACCTCATCCTTCATAAACTCATCCACTGACAAGTCTACTCCCAAATATCTGAACACATTTACTTCTTCCATACTCCCTTGTCCAATGTGATATTCAATTTTTCTTTACCTAACTTATTTGATAGTCTCATCACCTTGCTCTTACCTATGTTCAGTTTCAACTTTCTTCCTTTACACACCCTTCCAAACTCATCCACTAACCTTTGCAACCTCTCTTAAAAATCTCCCAATAGCACAGTATCATCAGCAAAAATTAACTGTGTCAACTCCCATTCTGTATTCGATTTCCCGTAATTTAATCCCACCCCTCTCCAACACCCTAGCATTTACTTCTTTTACACTCCCATCTATAAATATGTTGAACCACCACAGTGACATTACACACCCCTGTCTAAGGCCTACTTTTACTGGAAAGTAATCTCTCTCTCTCTCCTACACAACCTAACTTAAGCCTCACCATCCTCATGAAAACTCTTTACAGCATTTAGTAACATATTACATATTCCATACATCTGCAACATCTGCTTCCTCATCCACCCTATCATATGCCTTTTCTAAATCCATAAATACAATGAAAACTTCCCTACATTTATCTAAATATTGCTCACTTATATGCTTCGATGTATTTATGTATGTAGTATACTGTTTTCATAAAACTTACTTGTTCATCTTGATGTGAAGGTTCAGTTATACCCTCAGGGTTTGATGCTCCTCTAACAATGAGACTCTCCAAAGATGGCCTCAGTGTCAAGATCTTGGCTGCAAGTTCAGCTGGGAGATCTAAATTAATCCACCCATCCAAGCGAACCTGTGTTAAAGATGATGAAATAAAGGTCAACAGTTATGTGTACACATTATTCTCAGAGCTCAATGTAATATGTACCGTTGTCAATTTTAATTGTATGTGACTAAAAATATTTTGCCTGTGTGATTTTTTTATTAGCACACTGGCCATCTCCCATTGAGGTAGGGTGATCCGAAAAAAGAAGAAACACTTTCACCACCACTTACTATCACTGTCATGCCAGAGGTGTGCCAGCACTGCAACTAGATGCCCCTCCAAACTGCAATATCCCCACCCCTCCTTCAGGGTGCAGGCATTGTACTGCCTACCTCCAGGATTCAAGTCTGGCTAACCAGTTTCCTTGAATCTCTTCATAAATGTTACCTTCCCTGAATTCCTTCATAAATGTTGCCTTCCCTGAATCCCTTCACAAATGTTACCTTAGACATGACATCTCCACTGGCCGCAGTCTCCTCTTCATTGCAACATTTAAAACTCATGCTTTGCATTCATAATGATGTTGATACCACTATACTCTGGTACATTCCCCTTTTTTGCCTTCATGGATAAGGTACCTTGTTTCTACAGATGCCTCAATACCCCACCCACCAGTTTTCCCTCAACATTCTTAACCCTCTTCAATTCTCCTTATACTCCACAATCTTATCACTTGTCTTTTATAAAAACCTCTTATATCTTAACTTTTTCTCCCTTACCATCTCAAAATATGCTAACTCCTTCTCCCTTATCATTCTCTCATTTTACCTCATCATTCTACTAATCGCGTCTCTTCTTTACCGCACCCACCCTCCTACATCCACAAAGTTCCGCTGCACACCAACACTGCATTCTTAAATCTACCACATACCTTTTTGTCCTCCTCGGTACCTATACTCTCTCTACCCCATCTTTCTCCCAACAGTTGTTTATATCTTACCTTAACTTCCTAGTCTAGTTTATAAACTTTCATTTCTCTCTTACTGATGATACTCTCCTAATACCCCAACAGTCATACTGGCCAGGCTGTGGCAGTCACCACCAAAATTCTTATTGCCAGTAGATTGAATCCTAATACCCCATCTCTCTCTCTCTGTGATACAATAAATAATGATCTAATATATCTGTTGCCCTCTAAAAGCATACACATCCAGAAGCCTAGCCATCAATCTTCTATCTGCTATTACACAATCAAAACATGCTGTCACTATGCCCTATATTGTATCTCGAGTATTTATCCTCTTTTTCTTAAAACACGTAAAGTGAGGCCCCGCTTTACGGCATTTCGCCTTACAGCGTTCTGCTAATACAGCGATGTCAAATTATGACCAAAATTTGCTATACGGCAAGCGGTCTTTCAAATACAGCGCCCCCCACCCGGTTTGTTTACATTTTCCATGACCACTTTCCAAAATTTCAAGTGTTTTAAAGTTACTGCATAGTTTATAAGTACTCTGATAATTATACTTATGTGTACCTGTACCTAAATATACTTACACACTGTGCTGGGATGCAGGTACACATTAAAATTGCTAAGAGTCTCTCTACTCATGACGCCAATACTACGTAATAATAATCACTCTTGGGCACACTAAATGTCTTATTTTACATCAATATAGGTATTTTCATTAATCCATCTATAATATTTTCCTCAAAACTATATATGAAACCCATTACATAGCATATAAACATGATACATACACTCACAGAATAAAAATTGATGTAAATATGAGATTTCTTTACAAAACAGCTGTGTAGGGAGTGTCGGAAGAATTACGTTTTCTCTAGTCAAACACTGGGGGATAACTTTACTCTATATATAGCAATTCACGACCCTTGTGGGTTTAGTGCTTATTATTATTATAATAATAATAATAATAATATTAATATTAATAATAATACAGTGGACCCCCGCTTTACGATCAGCTCCAAATGTGACTTATTATGTAAGTGTGTTTGTATGTGTATGTTTGGGGGTCTGAAATGGACTAACCTAATTCACAATATTCCTTATGGGAACAAATTCGGTCAGTACTGGCACCTGAACATACTTCTGGAATGAAATAATATCGTAAACCAGGGGTCCACTGTATTATTATTATCTTCATTCACTCTAAAAATGGTGTGGTGCTATTTGTTTATTCTGAACTAACTTGTACAACTTGTACACAATGTAAGAGTATTTGTATTGTGAGGTAATTATTATTATAATAAAAAAATATTGAGGTAAATGTTTTACAAACTCTTACAAATGGACGTGAATGAACTAAAAGTAGACACATATTAATACGCATTTCTTTCGCCTGACCAAGTGATCGTCCACTACCTGTTCAGTTGGTGTTCTTACATTGTCTCAACTCTGTATCTCGTTCTCTCTCTCGTTTACTCTTTCGTTAACTAGTTGGCTCTCATTGACGATGGCGTCTAAGCTTAGCTGTGATAAAAAGAGAAGTCGTAAGCCTCTTGCTTTAAGTGCCAAGTTAGAGGATGATGGTGTGCCATTCTGATTTTATTCAATAAACACCCTACCACTCACCTCTCACACATTAATATTAATATTTTAAGGTAAGTAATAAGTGTACTCTGTGTGTATCTTACCTTTTATTGTGTTTTTAATGCCTATTTCTATTGCTAACTTAATATAAGTTAGTGTAAACTTGTTGTCTGGCATTTATTGCATAGTTTGTATGTGCTCTGATAATAATACTTGTGGAGCTGTGTGGTGCCGGGTGGAGGGACATTATGTTTTCTCTGAGCAGCCATCAAAGAAAACGTATGAATCTGCGTTTGGCCCAGCCACTCCCTCACTCCGCTTTTGTTTACAATTTTCGGCATGAATTATTCATTACTTCTACCTTTGTTTATTATGGCATCTAAAGGTAGTTGTTAGAAATGATTAAATTCAGTGAACAAGGCATGTCGATGTTAATAATATGGCTCTGGACCACAGTGTAGGTAGCCGGTAGGTGTAGCCCAGGCGGGCTACACCTACCGGCTACCTACACTAACTTCCTACAAATAAATACTACTCACCTCTCTTCCTATATTAAGACTACACATATTTTAAGGTAAATAATGAGTGTACTGTATGTGTATTTTACCTCTCTGGGATGTTTTAAATATCGTATATTAAATATGAGACGGGGAGCCAGTGCTACCTACACCTGGGCTACCTGCACCTGACTTCCTACAAATAAGTACTACTACTCACCTCTCTCCCTACATTAAGATTACAAATACACTTTAAGATAAGTAATGAATTTACTGTGAATGTATTTTACTTTGTGTTTTTTAATGCCTAGTTCTATTACTAACTTAATATAATTTAGTGTAAGCTTGTTGTCTGGCATTTATATGCATTTATAAATGGAAAAAAATGGCGTTCTGCCTTCCGGCGATGTCTGCTTTCCGGCGACAGCCTGGAACCTAACCCGCCATATAAGTAGGGCCCTACTGTATTATGTATTACCAAACCTTTATGTACAGTTCAATTAAAGATCACAATTATCATTTACCCCTGGGATCCCAAATTTGCCTACTATGCCCTCTACAACAGTTTCTCTAAACTTTAGCATGAGGTCCCCACATGAATTGCTTTCTCACTTGGTTCAGAACTCCCTAAACACTCGATTAACATCTCCCAAAATCTCTCTCTCTCCTCTTCCCCAGGTGCATAAAAACTTAATACAACTCACTTTTTGCATCCCACTCTTACTTTAACCTTACACTGTCGGTGCTGTGATATTACAGCTTGCAAGCCAGTGTTGGTCCCGTAATAGTAAGCAAAAATTCAAGCGGCTTCCAATCTTGCAGGAGAAAGCTGGTAGGCCTACATATGAGAGAATGAGTAAGTGGTCAGTGTGCGCAGTATAAAAAAAAAAATCCTGCCGCACACAATGCATGAGAAAATAAAAACTGTGTTTTTCGTTTAAAATAGCGACTCTGCAGTGTATTTTTGTATGGTATTTATGGTTGTATTCTCGTTTTCTTGGCCTCATTTGATAGAATGAAAGATATATTACAGAACTAGAGATGATTTTGAATGGTTTACAGACTGAAAGTACTTTGAAATTGAGTTCAAAATAGAGGAAAATACATGTCAAGTGGTGGGTCTAATGTGCTTTCACAAATGCGCTGATATTATTTATACCATATTTACAATGATGCAGCAGTCTACATAGCAGTAAATCTCCTATTTTTTGTGCAAATAAAAATTCAAAATGGAAAGCAAGTGTAATATAAGAGGGGTCTGGAGATGTGACTAATGAACAGAGAAAATGTTATTTAAGTGAAAGGAATGTTCGCAATGTTAATTCTGGACCCTATTTTGAAACTGGTCTTTCTTGAATTGTGTATGAAATGGGCCAAATTATCAATTTCTGATCACTTGGGTAGTTGAAATCGGTAAATGGGTGGTTTCTTGTACTCAATCGACAGAACAAAAGGAGTTCTAGTGAAAAAGCTACAAGTTTGGTTGGCTTGAACAATGGAACTGGCCAAAAATAGGGCTCACAGTGGGCAAAATTGCCGAAGCGTAAGTATCACTGAGACTGCTAACCTTGCAAGAGCGTAATACTGTAAGTTTTCTAACAAATTTCGTTCTTTTGGTGTCATTACCACCAGGAAAAGATTCTCTATCATTTCACAAGAATTTTTTTTTTTAAATTCTTTGACACTGAGAGCAAGTTTGGGAGCAGGGGTCTAAACAGTGAAAGGGTTAATCAACACAATCCTTGATTTATTTTTTCAATGCACCAGCCCATTTCTCTCTCCCCACTGGAAATCTATTTCCTTCAGCTTTATTTTGCTTAGAGCTAGGATATTTAGCTTCTTTTTATTTGCAACATTTAGAATCAACTCTATGTACTGCATTCACACATATTCAAACATTTTGGTTGCCTTTTATGTCGTGCATGGCTTGTGGAAGAAAAATTCTTCTTCACTTCAAGAACTAATAAGAAAATAGGTATGTATGCATTTACAAGTACATGTATGTGTAGTAAGAACTAAACATAAGCAGAAGTAGCAAGATGCACCTGTCATCTTGGGTTTTTATGAGACAAAGAAAGACACTAGCAATCCTACTTTATTTAAAAAAAAAAAAAAAAAAAAGTTTACAGGATTTTGTTTCCTACTCATTTGGTAGGAAGGTAGTACCACCCTGGCTGGCAACTGTCTACCAACCTACTACTTGCAACTCAATTTTCTAATTGGAATCATTCTCTCTACCTGCAAATTTATATTGTGACTACGGATAAATCTCTCTCCATGGGAAAGTGGAACAGAATTCTTCCTCCAAAAGCCATGGGTGTCATAAGAGGTGACTAAAATGCCGGGAGCAAGGGGTTAGTAACCCCTTCTGTATACATTACTAAATTTAAAGAGAGAAACTTTTGTTTTTCTTTTTTGGGCCACCCTGCCTCAGTGGGACACGGCTGGTTTGTTGAAAGAAGAAAGAAGATAAATCTCTCTAAGACAAACTGATTTGCCTAATGACACAGAATGCACATTAAAAAGTTAAAGGAAATTAATTCATATTTAAATATGGAAAGAAATGGATTGCCATTTTATAAAAAAAATTAGTTCTATTCGCCTAATAAAATTATCTATAATACATAAACGCTATCTTTACCATTACGAGACAAAAGGGAAGGTAACTTAAAGATGTATCACTATAACTCAACAGGTGCCTTTTCATAAGGACATGAATTTGGTCTAACGATAACCCACATTATCCATGCCTTGCTTGCAAGCAGACTAAAGCAGTTTTACACAACTATCTCCACTTAAGTACTATCTCGTGTATTAATTTATTGCCATTGCAAAAGCTAATTTCAGTCAAAGCACCACTGCCTTTATATTAGTACTCTCACAACTACACATCTGAATAGTTTGGAAAACTGACAAGGGTGAAAATAAAAAAAAATATAGCAAAATAAAAGATGGCTGGAAAACTATTATCATAGTAAGAGTGGTCAAGAGCTACAGAATTCCTTTATAACTACAGTAACATAGCAAAGAATATAAACAGTGGTAAATACAAAGCAAATTATGCTGAATATACTTACAACACCCTCCACAGCTTCCACACGTCTAGATCCAAACAGCATCAAGTGGATTGGAGTCACCATTGTCATTTGCTTACACGACACAGCTCGAGTGCGAATCTACAAAGCAAAAATTTTTTAAACACAAGCTTTACAATAAAACAATAAGAATAAGTTATTTTTCAATAAGCCACACCTGATACAAAGGCTTCTTACATGTTGAGGCCCATATTTATGCAAAGTTTTTCAGACAGAGAAGCTAAGAATAAAAACTAGAACAGAGCAGTATACAGAAAATGTTTTTTTTTTTTTTAACAAGTCGGCCGTCTCCCACTGAGGCAGGGTGACCCAAAAAAAGAATGAAAATACTTTCATCATTATTCAACACTTTCACCTCACTCACACATTATCACTGTTTTTGCAGAGGTGCTCAGAACACAACAGCTTAGAAGCATATACCTATAAAGATACACAAACATATCCCTCCAAACTGCTAATATCCCAAACCCCTCCTTTAGAGTGCAGGCACTGTACTTCCCATTTCCACGACTCGAGTCCGGCTATATAAAAATAACCGGTTTCCCTGAATCCCTTCACTAAATATTACCCTGTTCACACTCCAACATATCGTCAGGTTCCAAATACCATTCATCTCCATTCACTCCTATCTAACACGCTCACGCACGCTTGCTGGAAGTCCAAGCCCCTCACCCACAAAACCTCCTTTACCCCTTCCCTCCAACCTTTTCGAGGACGACCCTTACCCCGCCTTCCTTCCCCTACAGATTTATACGCTCTCCATGTCATTCTACTTTGATCCATTCTCTCTAAATGACCAAACCACCTCAACAATCCCTCTTCAGCCCTCTGACTAATACTTTTATTAACTCCACACCTCCTAATTTCCACACTCCGAATTTTCTGCATAATATTTACACCACACATTGCCCTTAGACAGGACATCTGCACTGCCTCCAACCGCCTCCTCACTGCTGCATTCACAACCCAAGCTTCACACCCATATAAGAGTGTTGGTACTACTATACTTTCATACATTCCCTTCTTTGCCTCCATAACTTTTTTTTTTATTATTTTATTATTAACACACTGGCCGATTCCCACCAAGGCAGGGTGGCACGAAAAAGAAAAACTTTCACCATCATTCACTCCATCACTGTCTTGCCAGAAGGCTGCTTTACACTAGTTTTTAAACTGCAACATTAACACCCCTCCTTCAGAGTGCAGGCACTGTACTACTTCCCATCTCCAGGACTCAAGTCCGGCCTGCTGGGTTCCCTGAATCCCTTCATAAATGTTACTTTGCTCGCACTCCAACAGCATGTCAAGTATTAACTTTTTTTGTATCCACATATACCTCAATGCACCACTCACCTTTTTTCCCTCATCAATTCTATGATTAACCTCATCCTTCATAAATCCATCTGCTGACATGTCAACTCCCAAGTATCTGAAAACAATTACTTCTTCCATACTCCTCCTCCCCAGTTTGATATCCAATTTTTCATTATCTAAATCATTTGATACCCTAATCACCTTACTCTTTTCTATGATCACTTTCAGCCTTCTACCTTTACACACACTCCCAAACTCATCCAATAACCTTTGCAATTTTTCTTTAGAATCTCCCATGAGCACAGCATCATCTGCAAAAAGCACCTGTGTCAATTCCCATTTTGTATTTGAGTCCCCATAATTTAATCCCACCCCTCTCCCGAACACCCTAGCATTTACTTCTTTTACAACCCCATCTATAAATATATTAAACAACCATGGTGACATTACGCATCTCTGTCTAAGACCTACTTTTACTGGGAAGTAGTCTCCCTCTCTTCAACACACCCTAACCTGAGCCTCACTATCCTCATAAAAACTCTTTACAGCATTTAGTAACTTACCACCTATTCCATATACTTGCAACATCTGCCACATTGCTCCCCTATCCACTCTATCATATCCCTTTTCTAAATCCATAAATGCAATAAAAACTTCTCTACCTTTATCTAAATACTGTTCACATATATGCCTCAATGTAAACACTTGATCTACACATCCCCTACCCACTCTGAAACCTCCTTGCTCATCCGCAATCCTACATTCTGCCTTACCTCTAATTATTTCAATTATAACCCTACTGTACACTTTTTCCTGGTATACTCAGTAAACTTATTCCTCTATAATTTTTACAATCTCTTTTGTCCCCCTTCCCTTTATATAAAGGGACTATACATGCTCTCTGCCAATCCCTAGGTACCTTCCCCTCTTTCATACATTTATTAAACAAAAATACCAACAACTCCAACACTATGTGTCCCCCTGCTTTTAACATTTCTGTCATGATCCTGTCAGTTCCAGCTGCTATACCCAAAATCACAAATGCTTTACATAATACAGTAGAACCTCGACTTATGAGTTCCCCAACATACGAGTTTTTCGAGATACGAGCCGTTGCTCAGTTGATTTTTTGCTCTGAGTTACGAGTCAAAATCCATGTTACAAGCGAGCTTTCCCCTCAAGGGAGGTTCCTCGACCCTGGTGAGGCACTCTTGGGAATTTGATCTGTGTTCCAGTTCCCTAAATTAATCCTGAATACCTTCCATCCCCTCCCCCACAGGCGCTGTATAATCCTATTGGTTTAGCGCTTCCCCATTATAATAATATAATAATAAATAATAATAATAATAATAATAATGAGCGAGCTTCAAAACGACGCCACTGGTTGGCGCAGCGAATGCCACAACATCCCTCAGCAGTGACCGTGTTTTGCTTGTATTCTGTGCAGTTATTCTGCCAAATTTCTTTTTTTTAACCATGGTCCTGAGAAAGTAAGTGCAAAGGATAGTGCTGAGAAGAAAAAGAGGATGATGTCCATGGAATTAAAGCATGAAATCATAGATAAACACAAGCAATGTGTGTGGGTTGTAGACTTGGCCAGGAAGTACGAGCGTAGTACTTCTACCATAAGTACAATACTAAAGTAGGAGGAGTCAATGAAGGCTATAGCGACAGCCAAGGTCGTTACAATAATTTCTAAGCTGTGGACCTCTGTCCATGAAAAGATGGAGAAGCTGCTGTTGAAGTGGTTGACAGAGAAACAGCTCGCAGGAGATACCATGACAAAGGGTATCCTCTGCGAGAGGGCATGAGGCATTTACACTGATTTGCTGCAGGAGACCCCAGGCACTTCAACGGATGAAGCATTGAAAAAATTGTTTAGTGGTCAGTCGGGACTGGTTCAACGATGTTTCACTTCCAAAACATTCTGAAAGGGAGGATGAAACAAACCTCCTTGGACAGGTTTTTATTGAAACTCCCTGCAGATGAAAGTGAGGAAAGCGTTGAGAAAAAGCCAAAAATCAGTGAAAAGTGAAGTGAAAAAATAAACTAATTGTAGCAATTAAGTTCAGCGATAAAGTGTAGCAAGTAAGTTAAGCAATTATTATTATTATTTATTATCACACTGGCCGATTCCCACAAAGGCAGGGTGGCCCGAAAAAAAAAAAACTTTCACCATCATTCACTCCATCACTGTCTTGCCAGAAGGCTGCTTTACACTACAGTTTTTAAACTGCAACATTAACACCCCTCCTTCAGAGTGCAGGCACTGTACTTCCCATCTCCAGGACTCAAGTCCGGCCTGCCGGTTTCCCTGAACCCCTTCATAAATGTTACTTTGCTCACACTCCAACAGCACGTCAAGTATTAAAAACCATTTGTCTCCATTCACTCCTATCAAACACCTCACGCATGCCTGCTGGAAGTCCAAGCTCCTCGCACACAAAACCTCCTTTACCCCCTCCCTCCAACCTTTCCTAGGCCGACCCCTGCCCCGCCTTCCTTCCACTACAGACTGATACACTCTTGAAGTCATTCTGTTTCGCTCCATTCTCTCTACATGTCCGAACCACCTCAACAACCCTTCCTCAGCCCTCTGGACAACAGTTTTGGTAATCCCGCACCTCCTCCTAACTTCCAAACTACGAATTCTCTGCATTATATTCACACCACACATTGCCCTCAGACATGACATCTCCACTGCCTCCAGCCTTCTCCTCGCTGCAACATTCATCACCCATGCTTCACACCCATATAAGAGAGTTGGTAAAACTATACTCTCATACATTCCCCTCTTTGCCTCCAAGGACAAAGTTCTTTGTCTCCACAGACTCCTAAATGCACCACTCACCCTTTTCCCCTCATCAATTCTATGATTCACCTCATCTTTCATAGACCCATCCGCTGACACGTCCACTCCCAAATATCTGAATACATTCACCTCCTCCATACTCTCTCCCTCCAATCTGATATCCAATCTTTCATCACCTAATCTTTTTGTTATCCTCATAACCTTACTCTTTCCTGTAGTCACCTTTAATTTTCTTCTTTTGCACACCCTACCAAATTCATCCACCAATTTCTGCAACTTCTCTTCAGAATCTCCCAAGAGCACAGTGTCATCAGCAAAGAGCAACTGTGACAACTCCCACTTTATGTGTGATTCTTTATCTTTTAACCCTTTGAGGGTTTCAGACGTACTAGTACGTCTTACGCGCAGGGGTTTTTGACGTACTAGTACGCATAAATTCTAGCGCCGTCAAATCTCGCGGGAAAAGGCTGGTAGGCCTCCATATGAAAGAATGGGTCTAGGTGGTCAGTGTGCACAGTATAAAAAAATCCTGCAGCACACAGTGCATAATGAGAAAAAAAACTTTCACCGTTTTTTTGGCATAAAACAGCGACTTTGCACTGTATTTTCGTATGGTATTTATTGTTGTATTCTAGTTTTCTTGGTGTCATTTGATAGAATGGAATGCATATCACAGAAATTGAGATGATTTTCACTTGTTTTACAATGAAAAGTACCTTGAAATTGAGCTCAAAGTAGCAGAAATGTTCGATTTTTACCAAAGTTCAAAAGTAAACAAATCATGCCAAGCGTCCAATACACGTCAACTGGTGAGTCTAACATTCTTTTGCAAGTGCGCCAATATGAGTTATACCATTTTTTACACTAATGCAGTAGTCTGCATAACAGTAAATCTTCTATTTTTCGCGAGAATAAAAATTCAAAGTGGAAAGCAAAAGAATGTAAGAGGGGCCTTGAGACGTGACTAATGAACAGAAGAAATGTCATTTTAGTGCCAGGAATGTATTTCTTGTTTGTTCTGGACCCTATTCGGAAATTGGCATTTTTTGAAATTTGTGTGAAATTGGCAAAATTGCTAAATTCTGACCACTGTATTGGATAATTGAAAATGGTAAATGGGTGGTTTCTTGCCCTCATTCAATAGAAAAAATGTAGTTCTAGCGAAATATTCATGTTTATTGTCGACTAGTACAGAGGAATTGGCCGAAAATGGGGCTCAAATTGGGCAAAATTGCCGATGCGTAAACATCGCCGAGACCGCTAACTTCGCAAGAGCATAATTCCGTAAGTTTTCCATCAAATCTCATAATTTTGGTGTCATTATGATCGGGAAAAGATTCTCTATCTTTTCATAAGAATTTTTTTTTTTTTTTTAAATTTGGCCGACCCTGAGAACGAGTTTCTGAGAGGGCCTGTCGACCCTCAAAGAGTTAACTCCACGCCTCTTGCCAAGACCCTCGCATTTACTTCTCTTACAACCCCATCTATAAATATATTAAACAACCACGGTGACATCACACATCCTTGTCTAAGGCCTACTTTTACTGGGAAATAATTTCCCTCTTTCCTACATACTCTAACTTGAGCCTCACTATCCTCATAAAAACTCTTCACTGCTTTCAGTAACCTACCTCCTACACCATACACCTGCAACATCTGCCACATTGCCCCCCTATCCACCCTGTCATACGCCTTTTCCAAATCCATAAATGCCACAAAGACCTCTTTAGCCTTATCTAAATACTGTTCACTTATATGTTTCACTGTAAACACCTGATCCACACACCCCTACCTTTCCTAAAGCCTCCTTGTTCATCTGCTATCCTATTCTCCGTCTTACTCTTAATTCTTTCAATAATAACTCTACCATACACTTTACCAGGTATACTCAACAGACTTATCCCCCTATAATTTTTGCACTCTCTTTTATCCCCTTTGCCTTTATACAAAGTAACTATGCATGCTCTCTGCCAATCCGTAGGTACCTTACCCTCTTCCATACATTTATTAAATAATTGCACCAACCACTCCAAAACTATATCCCCACCTGCTTTTAACATTTCTATCTTTATCCCATCAATTCCGGCTGCCTTACCCCCCTTTCATTTTACCTACTGCCTCACAAACTTCCCCCACACTCACAACTGGCTCTTCCTCACTCCTACAAGATGTTATTCCTCCTTGCCCTATACAGTATACAAATATATTTCAATTACTATAAATTACTAAAAAGAAAAAGAAAAGTTTTTCTTTTTAAGGAGACCTAAAACCAAAAACTTTCATTTTTCTTTGTAGGTCACCATGCCTAAGTGAGATATGGCTGGTGTGTTGTAAAAGAAAAAAATATAAATTAATATGGAAATCAGAAGACAACTACCACCTTTGATTTAAACAATAGTAGATGGATAAAAAATAAAAAAATAAACCTATACTGATCATACATACGTATATGTAAGCAATATTATATATACATGCACAACACCAATTTTCTGGCAACAGATTGTCTGGCACCACTTTTAGCCTGAATAAAATTATGGTGGCAACCACAGATGGCATTGTGTGAAGCACACTCACTTATATTGTTTACAATGCAGGTGTTGATTTTGTGCAATTCTCAACACAATTTGCTAATATCTAACCTTAGCTATGGCTAGGGTTAATAGTTATATTAAACCGTCAAAAGCTGTGGGTATTGACAAGTTAATCAAGTTGTCAGGTGAATTTATCAATGGGCTAGAACAATGTTCCATTGTGACAGAACAAGAGCTAAAGAAGTTTTACTTGATGCACAATAAATTATAGTATGATAAGGTATTTTCCTAATAAAGCCATCAAGTGTGACTCCTTTCTTTGTTTGCTTTTCAATCCACAAATTTAGCAAACTTTCTATCTTGTTTAGCTGTAATGGCCTCATTCTTTTTATGTTGCAATGAGGATTACTCAATCCATAAGCCTTTATCTTCATCTCACTGTTTTGAACAAATAGTTGATTCTCCAACATAAAACGCTCGTGCCGTCTTCATGATGCATACACCACCCTTCAGCATCTCAATCATGGCTAATTTTTTGAAACAAGCAGTTTCATACTTAATTTTCTTCCTTACTTCACCAGTGTTCATCTACACTTCATTTGGAACGCCATGATAAATATCCAGAGAAGAGATGGGGTGATGAAAGAAGGAAAAACTGAGTGATGATATAAAGTGACACAGGTGGGAGGCTGTTTGTTTACATTCATTCACCCTCCCTCACACCTTTCCCTTCACTGCTAAAACTACTGAATTGTGATGGGTCTCCTGCCTGCCTACCATGGCACTTCTTAACATAAATGAATTGGGCTCTCAAGTGCCTTATCGGAAATGGGCATGCTTCTATTGGAAATGAAAAACTAAATTTAAATCACAGAATACTGAAAATGCAAACTAAGATGGTGCCATTTAAGGTTTTCTACTGTATTTTTTGGGGGGACACCAAAATATAAAATTCATAAATAAGACATGTCAATGTACCCAGGTACTACTTTGTAAACTAAGTTTTACATTTTTACAAACCTTTTCTCCAAACACGAAGTAAGGTGAGGGGAATATTAATTCTTGATTACTACAGTTGACAGATGACTTGTGGATGAGAGCAGCCTTGGATTCTGTTGTCAACACCTGCCAATTCAAGAGAATATCATCAGCATCAACAGTCTGGGTGATTAAGACATGCATCAGAAGGCTGGTCTGAGACTAGGCCATGGAAACATTGAAACCCAAAACTATCTCCGGGCAAATCAAATTACCACATGCAAATAACAACATATCAGGACCGAATGAAGAAAAAAGTACCGTAAAGAATGCAAATTTAAAAGTATACTACTGTTTATTACAGCACATTCAGTCCCTTGATTGTTCATCAATGACACGCTTATTTTAAGTAAGATTTAGAAAGACAAAGTACTGTACATGAATATTTGCATAAACCTGCAAGATTTGCATAAACCTGCAAGATTTGCATACACTAGATATTAATGTCCTAGGCTCTCAAACCGGGTCCACTATCAGCATTTGAGTAATGAAATCTCACTTTTTTAATAGCCTGTCATTATATTTATGTACTACAGTACTTTAAATGATACAAAAAAAAAAAAATGATATACAGTCATGCATTACCAGACTTTCATATTCTGCAAACCACAGAGCAGATGACATTAACCATTTTTACTATATAATTGTATTACTTGCCTTCACATGTTAGAAACCATACCAGTAAACAGCATTTGCTATCAACATGTTTACAATCTACTTGTCATGTTTTCTCTAAGCATGCAAAAAGCAAACAAGACAGAAATGAGAAAATCTCTTCATTCAGCACATGAAGGTGAGTATAAGTAAGAAATTGCTAATTATTTAGTTCACAATCAGATTCTCTTGTATATAGAGGTTACCAGACAGGAGACGTGTGAATGAATCAAAATATTTCATGAGATCTTATATTTTTTTAAATGCATTGATGACTAGTAAGAAAATACTACTGTATAATAAAAAAAAATTAAAATTAGAAGAATGCATACCTTACGCTTTTCTTTGTGAGCACAGACATTTGGATAGTGTCCCAAAGTTAGAAGGCCCACTACCAAGTCTAGCTTAGGATCTGGACCATAAAAATTGAATGTTTGAGGCAGAAGACACTCTTCAGGAAATCCAGCAGTATTGACAAGCAACTCCTTCAGCTGATTCTGTGTGGAAACTTTTTTTATTTGCACAAGAACATAAGGCCTACTGGCCCAAGCTTAACAGATCCTAACAGTCTCAGACTATTATAGTTCACTCTGCTAGGGCACTACACTTGGATATAGATTTTGTTTATAATGAAATCCTCCAAATTATTAGATTCGCTACATAAACACTGGTAAAAATGCAAACATTTACCAAAAATACTATTGCACATTGTGAAACCCTGTAAAGACTACACATTTTAAGGTATAGAAACAATATGCCATTTACATAAAAAAGACTTGGGTATTGTAAAACACAATCTACACAAGTTAAATTATGTTATTCATATTTACTAGGCTCTTGGTTCAAAAAATAAAAAAAGTTATAAGATATTTCATGAAATAAAAAAATAAAATTTTTAGCTAGTGGTACTAGTTTATGAAGATGAAAAACAAAACAGAATAATGCAATACAAATTCTCTGGTACTAGTCTACGAATAAGAATTAAATTAATAGAGTGCAGTACTGCTATGATAGTCTACTCTATTTTGCACCTCACCCTTTCAAAATACTACATATTTTCCCACTCCGTTTTCATTTGTTTCCTCTTATGTACTCTCTTATCCTCACCTCTCATTTGCTAGTGCAAACAAACATCTGGGCAAGTTTCTACATATTGCCTCTATCAAAACACTGAGTTCCTAAAAAGAACAAAGCAAATACACAAATAGATTAAAAAATTACAAATCACTGAATAACTGACCTTTGCTTCCCAAGTAACCCTTAATGTAGGCATAGAAAGTCCTTTGTAGTCACAGAACCTAATCTCAGCATTTTCTCCACCAGCTCTGGCTTCCTCCCATGAATTAAATGCACTTAATGCTGCTATGTGGTCACTGTAGCGGTTGCCAGCAAAAGCACGTTGAAATGGACTAAGTCGACGGTATTCTGGAGCTGCACCGAAACAAACATTTAACAGTTATTCAGTTTCATTAATTTCAAAATTTATTATCATTTTTTTTTTTAACTTCCCACCAAAGCAGGATGACCCAAAAGAAATAAAAACCCAAAAAGGAAGAAAAAACTTTCATTATCATTCAACACTTTCACCACTAACTATTCATTTCACAGAATACACCAAAATATAGGTGAAGAGAAAAGATGAGAAAGCCAATATGGTAAGTAAGACACATAGGTAACATTTAGGCATCTTTATTCTGAAACGTTTCACCTACACAGTGGGCTTCTTCAGTCGAGTACAGAAAGTAGGCAAGAGAAGTAGAGATGTGAAGACGATGTAATCAGTCCATCACCCTTGAAGATGTAATAAAGTTGGTAGAATTACCGACAATATGTAAAGTAAAAGGACAAGTGCAACTAATGTGACATTTTATTGTGGCAACATTTCGCTCTCCAGGAGCTTTATCAAGCCATTACAAACAATACATGGACACAGAGGGTATATAAAGGCTCAAGAGTGAGGTGCAATACTAGTGAGGTACCATTTCGATGTTCACTAGTGGTAGTAGTAGTAGTGACAAAAGTAATACAATATGGTAGAGCGATTAATTCGTACATGAGTAAAAGGATATCAAAACTATTACTTGGGTAACATAAAAATAGGTTGGACAAATATAGACTGGAAAGAGGCAGCTTGTTTCAGTGTTCACTTTCTGTAATGTGCTTTGTGTAGTATAACAGGAGAGACTATGTGATGGCGATGGCAGGGTTTACTGTTTTCAGGAGGATTCTTGCTAAGACTTCGGAGATGGTGAAGCTGCTGTTGTTTTGTTTGATTGTATTCGAAACAGCGATCAGTGCTGATTCGAGGCACTTGCGTCTGCGGAAATTAGTTTCTTTGATCACTAATTGGGCATCTCTGAATTTCATGAGATGATTGGTGGAATTTCGGTGTTGTACACAGGCGTTGTTCAAAGTTATCGTTCCTACATGCGTAAATGTGTTCATTGAGACGGGTGTCGAGGTTTCTTGTTGTTTCACCTACGTAAATCTTGTCACAGCCTCCACAGGGTATAGTGTAAACTCCTGCATTGACTGGTTCGTGGTGCTTGGATTTTGTCCTGGTTAGATCCTTTATTGAAGTGCTAGAAGCAATGGCGACTCTGGTGTTAGCTTGTGAACGTACTTTTGAGACGTTCAGTGCAACCTGGCTGTTGGGAAGAATTATAACTTTGTTGGGAGTGGTGTTGATGCGTGGAGAATTAATGATCTGAAGAGCTCTTTTCTTGAAGTCTTTGATGAAAAAAGAAGGAAAATGTAACTTAGTGAATGTTTGGTGAATGTACGTACATTCCTCGTCAAGAAACTCAGGACTACAAATTCGGTATGCTCTTAGGAAAAACCCGAGGATGATGCCTCTTTTGGTCTTGGTATCCTGACTGGAATAGAAGTGTGTGAGATCATTTTTATTGTTTTTTTCCTAAGAGCATACCGAATTTGTAGTCCTGAGTTTCTTGACGAGGAATGTACATACATTCACCAAACATTCACTAAGTTACATTTTCCTTCTTTTTTCATCAAAGACGGAAAGAAAAGAGCTCTTCAGATCATTAATTCTCCACGCATCCACACCACTCCCAACAAAGTTATAATTCTTCCCAACAGCCAGGTTGCACTGAACGTCTCAAAAGTACAGTGGACCCCCGCATAACGATTACCTCCGAATGCGACCAATTATGTAAGTGTATTTATGTAAGTGCGTTTGTACGTGTATGTTTGGGGGTCTGAAATGGACTAATCTACTTCACAATATTTCTTATGGGAACAAATTCGGTCAGTACTGGCACCTGAACATACTTCTGGAGTGAAAAAATATCGTTAACCGGGGGTCCACTGTACTTTCACAAGCTAACACCAGAGTCGCCATCGCTTCTAGCACTTCAATAAAGGATCTAACCAGGACAAAATCCAAGCACCACGAACCAGTCAATGCAGGAGTTTACACTATACCCTGTGGAGGCTGTGACAAGATTTACGTAGGTGAAACAGCAAGAAACCTCAACACCCGCCTCAATGAACACATTTATGCATGTAGGAACGATAACTTGAACAACGCCTGTGTACAACACCGAAATTCCACCAATCATCTCATGAAATTCAGAGACGCCCAATTAGTGATCAAAGAAACTAATTTCCGCAGACGCAAGTGCCTCGAATCAGCACTGATCGCTGTTTCGAATACAATTAAACAAAACAACGGCAGCTTCACCATCTCCGAAGTCTTAGCAAGAATCCTCCTGAAAACAGTAAACCCTGCCATCACATAGTCTCTCCTGTTATACTACACAAAGCACATTACAGAAAGTGAACACTGAAACAAGCTGCCTCTTTCCAGTCTATATTTGTCCAACCTATTTTTATGTTACCCAAGTAATAGCTTTTATATCCTTTTACTCATGTACGAATTAATTGCTCTACCATATTGTATTACTTTTGTCACTACTACTACTACCACTAGTGAACATCGAAATGGTACCTCACTAGTATTGCACCTCACTCTGAGCCTTTATATACCCTCTGTGTCCATGTATTGTTTGTAATGGCTTAATAAAGCTCCTGGAGAGCGAAACATTGCCACAATAAAATGTCACATTAGTTGCACTTGTGTCCTTTTACTTTACACCCTTGAAGATGTAGATTTGAAGTTGTCAGTCCATCTTCAATGAAGGGTGATGGACTGATTACATCATCTTCACATCTCTACTGCTCCTGCCTACTTTCTGTACTCAACTGAAGAAGCCTGCTGCGTAGGCAAAACGTTTTGGATTTTTTTTTTCCCAACAAACCGGCCATATCCCACCAAGGCAGGGTGGCCCAAAAAGAAAAATGAAAGTTTCTCTTTTTAAATTTAGTAATTTGTACAGGAGAAGGGGTTACAAGGCCCTTGCTCCCGGCATTTTAGTTGCCTCTTACAACACGCATGGCTTACGGAGGAAGAATTCTGTTCCACTTCACCATGGAGATAAGAGGAAATAAACAAGAACTAGAAAGAAAATAGAAGAAAACCCAGAGGGGTGTGTATATACATGCTTGTACATGTATGTGTAGTGTGACCTAAGTGTATGCAGAAGTAGCAAGATGTACCTGAAATCTTGCATGTTTATGAGACAGAAAAAAGACACCAACAATCCTACCATCATGTAAAACAATTACAGGCTTCTGTTTTACACTCACTTGGCAGGACGGTTTCGGAATTAAGATGCCTAAATGTTGCCTATGTGTCTTACTTAGACAAGCCAATATGAAATATAAGGTAAAGTATGGAAATGTCTTCATGTGGAAATGATGGATGGTACGATTATAATAAAAATAGTAGTATGACAGGCAGGATACTAATATGGAGTAAACAGCAACATGACAGGTAGGATACTAGTATGGAGTAAACAGCAGCATGACAGGCAGGATACTAGTATGGAGTAAACAGCAGCATGACAGGCAGGATACTGGTATGGAGTAAACAGCAGCATGACAGGCAGGGTACTAGTATGGAGTAAACAGCAGAATGATATGCAGGGTACTAGAATGGACTAAACAGCAGCATGACAGGCAGGATACTAGTATGGAGTAAACAGCAGCATGACAGGCAGGATACTAGTATGGAGTAAACAGCAGAATTACAGGCAGGATACTAGTATGGAGTAAACAGCAGAATATGCAGGATACTAGTATAGAGTTAATAGCAGCATGACAGGCAGGGTACTAGTATGGAGTAAATAGCAGCTCGATAGGCAGGGTAACTGCTTAATCAGTCAAACTATTGCTGTTTGTAGCCCAGAAACTACAAGTCACCACCACCAAGCTAATCACACTTACGGATGATAAAAATTTCAGGAGAAGTAGAGTTGTGTGCAGCAATGGTACACATGGCATCACCACAAAAGAAAATACAACCCAGGATCACCATCTTTCCCAGGCGAGGCTCTATTGGTAGTCTTGCCAGGATACGTCCAAGAGGGGTTAGTTCATCATTGCTGTCCAAACACTTCATCTCTGAAAGTAGTTTTGTACTGTAATCCGTTGACATAAATAGTAATAACAATAATTCCTAAACATTTGCTGCAATAATTTATGTTATACGTTTTTCCTGTTATGTTTCAAGTCAGTGGCAAGCAAAGTAATGGAGAAGCATTGTTCCCTATTGTTTGAGAGACTGCTAAAAAATGGAGAAGCATTGTTCCCTATTCTTTGACAGACTGCTAAAAAATGGAGAAGCATTGTTCCCTATTCTTTGACAGACTGCTAAAAAAATCAACTCTACCTCTTAGTGTGACTTCTGCCTCAATAACAGCATCAATGGGTGGAGCTTGAATAGCTTTGGACAGAAATTCTCCAATGGATCCTAGACGCAAAAGCTTGATTGAGAGGGACACTTCATGTAAGGGTGTGCGGAACATCTCTGGCGTCATGTGTTCATCTAGTTTATCATATCTAGCCTGAAAGAAAAAAATTCTATAAGAGGACTGAATTCTGTAAACCAGACAGCTTATGGAAATGAAGCACCACCTCATTATAATTCCAAAGCACGACAAAAGTCACCCTTAATTAAATTACTGTACTAGACTTAGGTTGTGATAATAAAAATAACCTAGAAGAAAAAGGCTGACAGAAGGAATTACAGGCAACACAGTGAAGGTATGACGACATTTACAAAAAAATATAAATTAATTTCATCATACAGTTAACAGCCCTTCAAACACAATTAGCAGGGCTCAAGGCTTTTCAATACATTTCCTTTCAAGAAAATTACCAGCACCTGTTGGTACTGACTGAGCATTTTTTTCTACGAAAAAAAAGTGACATGCAAAATATCTAAATAACTTGCCTTTAATTTTATAGCATAAATTAGTAATGTATTAAATAGTAATACAATACCTTAGTGCAGAGATGAAAACAAATGCCAGCCCTGACTCTTCCAGCTCGACCTTTACGTTGTTCCAAGTTGGTTCGTGAAGCCCACACCGTTGCATAGTTGGTCATGTTATTATGTGATGTGAAGAGTTTCATTTTTGCTTTGCAAGAGTCAATCACAAACACAACATCATTGATAGTGATGGAAGACTCAGCAATGTTTGTTGCCAGGATAATCTGTAGAATTATCAGATATCATTAGTCATCTAAGATGTAAATCGTAAAAAATGTTAAATACCTGGATGATAAACCTTATATACATGTAAAGTTATCATGCCCTTTGATATTATCATATATCATGGGTTCACCAAGATGATCAGTGTTAATGAATCACATGTGTAAGTCCCTGTTTATTATACAAGTGGTAGTGTACACAAGGGAGCAAGCAGCCACTATGTCACTCTCTGACTAGTGCCATATTTAAACTGGCAGGCTTCTGGTCTGGGCAGACAAAGTGTCTTCCCAGCAGGTATACCATGCATGTGCAGAGGAGGCATCATGAGCAAGACAAAAGAGTATTAAATGTCACACAGGCCTCACAAAGCAAGTTACTAAAACTGCATTACCTTCCTAACACCATCTGGAACAGAGTCAAACACTCTGCGTTGATCTTCTCGTGGAAGTTGTGAGTGCAGAGGTAACACAGAGTACTGATGTCCCCCTGTATGAATAAAAACTTTTATTAGTATGTACACAGCAAAATATTCATTCCAGAAGTATTAGCTAAACTGGACATAAAAAAAATAAAGGACAAAGACCTGAAGGCTAGGTAGATTTATGTAACCAGTTTTTCTTAAGTCATCCTTCTCATCTAAGCAACTGCATATCTTGTAAGGAAAAAACTTGAGAAATGACAAACTTAAGAAATATTTGAGGAGAATGACACTGAAGGAAAATGAACAAGCCCATTACAAGATATGAAGCATCCCAAACTACTTTAAACTCCCCTTATCACCAACTAAGACTGCCCCTACCAATTAGCCATTCATCCCCACTACAGTACCAATACCACTATACTTTTCTTCACTCACTATATACTGCCTTTCTGCTACACAGCAGAAATGAAAAAAAAAAAAAAACTTTTGTAGGATTTGGAGAACTGACCCAATTAGAAAAAGAATATCAGTATTTACTATACCAAACAAACAAAAATAAGAAAGCCATTAAAAACAATAAAAAATATGAATAACTTGAGAAAGTGTTATGACACAACCACCTCAGAAAATCAGAAAAAATTTAATATTTCTGCTACTTTGAGCCCATTTTCAAACTACGTACTTTCAGTTCTGAAATCAGTTTCATAAGAACATAAAGAAGGAATACTGCAGTAGTGTATATTCTATTTTATCAAATGATACCAAGAAACAGTCAATAAAACCATAAAACCATGATAGAAAATGCCTCAAAGTTGCCATTTTAAACCAAACACAAGATCAGTTTTATTCTTCCCATCATGCACCACGTGGGGCAGAATTATTTTTATACTGTGCACACTCACCCCACACACCCATTCTCTCCAATCTAGGCCAAATTTACTGCTCACAGCTTATCTGAAGGAGCTCTGCTCAAAACATAGATCTACATGAGGGACCCCAGCAACAATAACACAGACCTACATGATGGCCACTCAAAGGGTTAAATAACTAAATAGGAAAACTCATCTCCTACAAACTCAAAAGCATTACAGCATGTAATAATCTTGTCAGATTTTAAGCATCAACTTTTCAAAATGTTAGTGTCCAAAAATGAAAACAAGATAACATACGGTAGTAATAAAACCCTACCAAAAACTGGGTGTTGCTTCAGGTGTCTCATGAGACTGAAGATGAGGTTCCAGCCAGGAAGGAATATCAGTACAGCCCCAGGGGTAGTAAGTGTGTCTATGTATTTCAGTAAAGCTTCTACCAGTTCAAAGCTCAAATCCTTCTCGTTCATCATGGACAAAGATTTTCTAGTGGCATCTGAATAATGACTTGAGCTGACAATATTCAGGTTCTCTTCTGGCTCATCCCCTGGAAGCTCTTCATCCTTCTCCTAGAATAATAACAGTTAATATAAGTTTCCATTTCCCTTTGTATTAGTATTATTCTATGACTATATAGTCCAAAGTACTATAGCCTAACTATTTTTTAATCTAGAATTAACACTAACCTTTTTATTACGTTTTCTAGTATCAGGAGGGGGTATAAACTTTGTAAGCTCAATACAATCCTCCAAGTAATATTCCTGTACAGGGTAGGCTCGTCCTGGTACCTCAATCAGACATGGGTTAGCAAAATATTCTGAGAAAAGTGAAATATCGATGGTTGCAGACATGAGAATTATGCGAAGATCTGGGAAAGCACGCACCTGTAATGAAAAGCACATATTCACAATTAACATCTTTGACACTTATCTATTTACACAGAGTAACTGCTTAATGTCCTAGGTAGTAGGTTGGTAGACAGTATCTGCCCCAGGGATGTACTACCATCCTGCCAAGTGAGTGTAAAACGAAAGCCTGTAATTGCTTTACATGATGGTAGGATTGCTGGTGTCCTTTTTTCTGTCTCGTGAACATGCAAGATTTCAGGTGCGTCTTGCTACTTCTACTTACACTTAGGTCACACTACACATACATGTTTTTTTTTTTTTTCAACAAGTTGGCCGTCTCCCACCGAGGCAGGGTGACCCAAAAAAGAAAGAAAATCCCCAAAAAGAAAATACTTTCATCATCATTCAACACTTTCACCACACTCACACATTATCACTGCTTTTGCAGAGGTGCTCAGAATACAACAGTTTAGAAGCATATACGTATAAAGATACACAACATATCCCTCCAAACTGCCAATATCCCAAACCCCTCCTTTAAAGTGCAGGCATTGTACTTCCCATTTCCAGGACTCAAGTCCGACTATATAAAAATAACCGGTTTCCCTGAATCCCTTCACTAAATATTACCCTGCTCACACTCCAACAGATCGTCAGGTCCCAAGTATCATTCGTCTCCATTCACTCCTATCTAACACGCTCATGCACGCTTGTTGGAAGTCCAAGCCCCTTGCCCACAAAACCTCCTTTACCCCCTCTTTCCAACCCTTTCGAGGACGACCCCTACCCCTCCTTCCTTCCCCTATAGATTTATATGCTTTCCATGTCATTCTACTTTGATCCATTCTCTCTAAATGACCAAACCACCTCAACAACCCCTCTTCTGCCCTCTGACTAATGCTTTTATTAACTCCACACCTCCTAATTTCCACACTCCGAATTTTCTGCATAATATTTACACCACACATTGCCCTTAGACAGGACATCTCCACTGCCTCCAACCGCCTCCTCGCTGCTGCATTTACCACCCAAGCTTCACATCCATATAAGAGTGTTGGTACTACTATACTTTCATACATTCCCTTCTTTGCCTCCATAGATAATGTTTTTGACTCCACATATACCTCAACGCACCACTCACCTTTTTCCCTCATCAATTCTATGATTAACCTCATCCTTCATAAATCCATCCGCCAAAACATCAACTCCCAAGTAACTGAAAACATTCACTTCTTCCATACTCCTCCTCCCCAATTTGATATCCAATTTTCTTTATCTAAATCATTTGATACCCTCATCACCTTACTCTTTTCTATGTTCACTTTCAACTTTCTACCTTTACACACATTCTCAAACTCATCCACTAACCTTTGCAATTTTTCTTTAGACTCTCCCATAAGCACAGTATCATCAGCAAAAAGTAACTGTGTCAGTTCCCATTTTGAATTTGATTCCCATAATTTAATCCCACCCCTCTCCCAAACACCCTAGCATTTACTTCTTTTACAACCCCATCTATAAATATATTAAACAACCATGGTGACATTACACATCCCTGTCTAAGACCTACTTTTACCGGGAAGTATTCTCCCTCTCTTCTACATACCCTAACATGAGCCTCACTATCCTCATAAAAGCTCTTTACAGCATTTAGTAACTTACCACCTATTCCATATACTTGCAACATCTGCCACATTGCTCCTCTATCCACTCTATCATATGCCTTTTCTAAATCCATAAATGCAATAAAAACTTCCCTACCTTTGTCTAAATACTGTTCACATATATGCTTCAATGTAAACACTTGATCTACACATCCCCTACCCACTCTGAAGCCTCCCTGCTCATCCGCAATCCTACATTCTGTCTTACCTCTAATTCTTTCAATTATAACCCTACCGTATACTTTTCCTGGTATACTCAGTAAACTTATTCCTCTATAATTTTTACAATCTCTTTTGTCCCCTTTTCCCTTTATATAAAGGGACTATACATGCTCTCTGCCAATCCCTAGGTACCTTCCCCTCTTTCATACATTTATTAAACAAAAGTACCAACCACTCCAACACTATATCCCCCCCTGCTTTTAACATTTCTGTCATGATCGCATCAGTTCCAGCTGCTTTACCCCCTTTCATTCTACGTAATGCCTCACGTACCTCCACCACACTTACATTCTGCTCTTCTTCACTCCTAAAAGATGGTATACCTCCCTGGCCAGTGCATGAAATTACCGCCTCCCTTTCTTCCTCAACATTTAAAAGTTCCTCAAAATATTCTCGCCATCTACCTAATACCTCCCTCTCCCCATCTACTAACTCCCCTACTCTGTTTTTAACTGACAAATCCATACTTTCCCTAGGCTTTCTTAACTTGTTTAACTCACTCCAAAATTTTTTCTTATTTTCATTAAAATTTCTTGACAGTGCCTCTCCCACTCTTTCATCTGCTCTCCTTTTGCACTCTCTCACCACTCTCTTCACCTTTCTTTTACTCTCCATATACTCTGCTCTTCTTATAACACTTCTGCTTTGTAAAAATCTCTCGTAAGCTACCTTTTTCTCTTTTATCACACCCTTTACTTCATCATTCCACCAATCACTCCTCTTTCCTCCTGCCCCCGCCCTCCTATAACCACTAACTTCTGCCCCACATTCTAATACTGCATTTTTAAAACTATTCCAACCCTCTTCAACCCCCCCCACTACTCATCTTTGCACTAGCCCACCTTTCTGCCAATAGTCGCTTACATCTCGCCCAAACTTCCTCCTCCCTTATTTTATACACTTTCACCTCCCTCTTACTTGTTGTTGCCACCTTCCTCTTTTCCCATGTACCTCTTACTCTAACTGTAGCTACAACTAAATAATGATCCGATATATCAGTTGCCCCTCTATAAACATGTACATCCTGGAGCCTACCCATCAACCTTTTATCCACCAATACATAATCTAACAAACTACTTTCATTACGTGCTACATCATACCTTGTATATTTATTTATCCTCTTTTTCATAAAATATGTATTACTTATTACCAAATTTCTTTCTACACATATCTCAATTAAAGGCTCCTCATTTACATTTACCCCTGGCACCCCAAATTTACCTACTACTCCCACCATAACATTTTTACCCACTTTAGCATTGAAATCCCCAACCACCATTACTCTCACACTTGATTCAAAACTCCCCAAGCATTCACTCAACATTTCCCAGAATCTCTCTCTCTCCTCTACACTTCTCTCTTCTCCAGGTGCATACACGCTTACTATAACCCACTTTTCACATCCAATCTTTATTTTACTCCACATAATCCTTGAATTTATACATTTGTAGTCCCTCTTTTCCTGCCATAACTTATCCTTCAACATTATTGCTACTCCTTCTTTAGCTCTAACTATTTGAAACCCCTAACCTAATCCCATTTATTCCCCTCCATTGAAACTCTCCCATCCCCTTCAGCTTTGTTTCACTTAAAGCCAGGACATCCAGTTTCTTCTCATTCATAACATCCACAATCATCTCTTTCTTATCATTTGCACAACATCCACACACATTCAGACTTCCCACTTTGACAATTTTCTTCTTATTATTCTTTTTAGTAATCTTTACAGGAAAAGGGGTTACTAGCCCATTGTTCCCGGCATTTTAGTTGACTTTTACAACACGCATGGCTTACGGAGGAAAGATTCTTATTCCACTTCCCCATGGATATAAAAGGAAAAGTAATAAGACCAAGAACTATTAAGATAAAATCAAAGAAAACTCAGATGAGTGTGTATAAATAAACGTGTACATGTATGTGTAGTGTGACCTAAGTGTAAGTAGAAGTAGCAAGACATGCCTGTAATCTTGCATATTTATGAGACAGACAAAAGACACCAGCAATCCTACCATCATGTAAAACAATTACAGGCTTTCGTTTTACACTCACTTGGCAGGACGGTAGTACCTCCCTGGGTGGTTGCTGTCTACCAACCTACTACACACAAGAATACATGTACAAACGTGTACAAACATTTATATACACACCCTCTGGGTTTTCTTCTATTTTCTTTCTAGTTCTTGTTCTTGTTTATTTCCTCTTATCTCCATGGGGAAGTGGAACAGAATTCTTCCTCCGTAAGCCATGCGTGTTGTAAGAGGTGACTAAAATGCCAGGAGCAAGGGGCTAGTAACCCCTTCTCCCGGCAATATTACTAAATGTAAAAAAGAAACTTTCATTTTTCCTTTTGGGCCACCCTGCCTCAGTGGAATATGGCCGGTTTGTTGAAAGAAAGAAGAAAAACTGCTTAATGTATATAATATAATCAGGAAAATCACCTTGAAAATACTCAAACAGAGCTATGAGTTTTAGGGCTTGAGCATTCAGCAGGCTTGCATGAGCATGTTAAATAGTAGTGTTGGCATGTGAGCAGGGTAACTGTTGCCCTCAAACATATCTCTGTCTCTAGCCTCCTCCTCACTGCAACATATAAAGCTCATGTCTCGCACTCATATAAAAGTACAGCCTCTCCTCACTTAACGACGGAGTTCTGTTTCTAAGACCACGTCGGTAAATGAATTCGTCGCTAAGTGAGGAGTATACTATAATGGTAGTAGGTTTGTGACAACTATCTTTGATATTATTTTAATGTCACCTTTGCACCATTTATAACATTTCTGGTATATTTTTAAATGTTTATACAGTAGTATACTGTACATATATTGTAATAAACAGAATATAGGAAATCAGCTCTAATATCCTATATTATTTAGGCATGTATACTGGTCAGAAAGCCCGTCGTAAGTCCAAGTCATCGGTAAATGAGTAAGTCACTAAGTGAGGAGAAGGTGTATTGGTACAACTACACTCAGGTACATTCCCTTTCTTGCCTCCACAGATAAACTTATTCTTTCCACAGATGCCTTAACACATCACCTACAGTACCTTTTCCTCCTCTAGGTGCATAAGCAGCTAGTTCATTCTGCATCCCATGCTCATCATATGATCATTGTATTTATTTTATTCATGGGGAGTGCTAAACCTGTAGGGGTCATATAGTGCTTCGGGAATGGGAGACAATCAGATTTGGGCCAAGAAAGAGGAGGATGGCTCCAATTCCTAAAACCAAGAGCCCTTCACTGCCATCAAGGCACCTTCCTTGAAGGGTCATCCTATGAGAAATAGTGTAAATGAAGAATTACAGTTGTCATGTTTCTTCTCAGGTCAGCATGGGGTAAATATTTTTGAGTGAAAAAATCATCATTTCATAGACTACAAACATAACAGTAGTAATTTTTTCTATTTGATATGACAATGAGGATACAATTTCCAATATCCTATTATTGGTAATGAATAAAGTAGTAACAGTAGCATGAATGGGACCATTCACAATGAATACATAAAGTGTATGAATAAGGCTTCCCTATCTACACTGATACAGATTCTAATAAGTATAGGATATGAGAAACAACTTACCATATCACGTAACACAATAAGTATAAAATCTGTGTTGATGTCTCTCTCATGAATTTCATCAACAATCACATGAGATACACCTCTCAGTCCAGCTTCTAACTTTCTCAGCAGAACTCCAACAGTACAGAATAATATTCCACCATATGGTCTTGGAAGCACAGACTCAAACCGTACAGAATATCCAACACTATTACCAGTATCTTCTCCACGCTCACAGGCAACACGATCAGCAACAGACACTGCAGATATACGACGTGGCTGTGTGATAACTATATTGCAGTAGGCTCCTGATCCTGACTGAATGTAGTCATCCAAGATAAACTGACAAACCTGTTGGAAGAAAAACTAATCAGGTACTGTACAAACATTCTATTTACCAATGTAGTAAAGATAAGCTTTTGGCATATGTGAAGGATATATGCAAAGAAGAAGCTATGCCATACAATTAGATATTGGGAAGATGCATTCCAGAAACCTTTACCACACCTATAGTAAGATATATTTTTTTTATTACACATTGGCCATTTCCCACCAAGGCAGGGTGACCCAAAAAAAGAATAAACACTTTCATCATCATTCACTCCATCACTGTCTTGCCAGAGACAAGATATATCAACACCCCCTACCTTTCAGAGTGCAGGCACTGTACTTCCCACCTCCAGGACTCTAAGTCCAGTTTGCCAGTTTCCCTGAATCCCTTCATAAATGTTACTTTGCTCACACTCCAACAGCATGTCGTCATAAAACTCATTTGTCTCCACTCGTTATCTAACACACTCACACATGCTTGCTGGAAGTCTAAGCCCCTCACACAGAAAACCTCCTTCACCCCCTCCCTCCAACCTTTCCAAGGATGACCCTTACCCCACCTTCCTTCCACTACAGATTTATACACTCTCCAAATCATTCTATTTCGTTCCATCCTTTCTAAATGTCTGTACCACCTCAACAACCCCTCCTCAGCCCTCTGGATAATACTTTTAATAAATCCACACCTAATTTTCAAGCTTGATTCTCTGCATAATATTCACACTACAGATTGCCTTCAGACATGACATTTCCATTTCCTTCAGCTGTCTCCTTGTTGAATCGTTCACCATCCATGTTAAGTAAAAAAAACAAGTGCAATAATGCAACATTTTATTGTGGCCGCATTTCACTCTCCAGGTCCTTGGCAGTTCCCACAATGTCACATCAGATGCACTTGTGTTCTTTTGCCTAACATATTGTCGATAATTCACCACCCAAGCTCACACATATATACTACATGGAATAGAATTTAAGGTGTTTTAGATAAAACTCCCCCTTCCCCACAGAGGAAGTTAATGCTTCCTGTACGTTCTCCAGGCCTACAAGTTCGATAGACAGAATGAGGTTTTGAATAACATTAAACAATTCAAGTTTAGAGTGTGTTAGTGCATTCGGTAAAACTGGCTTTAAACTTCATTTGAAAAACTTGTTATTCAGTCCTATTGCTTCTCTTGCAGTTGCAATATTAACTCTTTTGTGTTCTTTTAACACATGACCAACCAATAGTTACAGTCACTACCATATCATTATATTTCTTTTCTGTCCTAAAATATGGTTTGCTTGCATTTTGTACTTTATTTCAACAACAAAAAAATTAATACAGGAATACTCATCAGATATTTTCTCGAGATTGTCCATACTGTTGTTGAGTAAAGCATGTTATCTAATAACTGGATGACATCACAGACTATTTTTCAATCAATAAATTAAACTGGAATGAATACCTACCTGAGTTGTCTTACCACAGCCTGTGTTGCCCCTAATGATAGTAACTGGATTTTCATAAATGGCAGCCATTATATCCTGCTTCATTTTGTACACAGGTAACTGGGTTCTCTGTTCAGTTAGTGACTGTAATGTTTGGTCAGTTTGCAGGCGGTCCTTATGAACTCCTTGCAAATCAGCACTAATCTGATCCAAAGAGAGCTGAGGAGAAAAGGGATAATGTATTATTCATTAGTTCATTAACAGCTAATTGTATAAGTGCAAGTTTCATTACTTTAACCAATGATTGTTTCACTCCTTAAATTACTGTTTCACTACTTTAAAAAATTAGTACATTCATTTTATCTACACAAATGCAAGCTTGGACGAGAAAGCAGAGCAATGAATGTGTGTGTGTGTGTGCGTGTGTGTGTGTGTGTGTGTGTGTGTGTGTGTGTGTGTGTGTGTGTGTGTGTGTGTGTGTGTATGTGTGTGTGTGTGTGTGTGTGTGTGTGTGTGTGTGTGTGTGTGTGTGTGTGTGTGTGTGTGTGTGTGTGTGTGTGTGTGTGTGTGTGTGTGTGTACTCACCTATTTGTGGTTGCAGGGGTCGAGTCATATCTCCTGGCCCCGCCTCTTCACTGATTGCTACTAGGTCCTCTCTCTCCCTGCTCCATGAGCTTTATCATACCTCGCCTTAAAACTATGTATGGTTCCCGCCTCCACTACTTCACTTTCTAGGCTATTCCATGGCTTGACTACTCTATGACTGAAGAAATACTTCCTAACATCCCTTTGATTCATCTGAGTCTTCAACTTCCAATTGTGACCTCTTGTGTCTGTGTCCCATCTCTGGAACATCCCGTCTTTGTCCACCTCGTCTATTCTGCGCAGTATTTTATATGTCGTTATCATGTCTCCCCTGACCCTCCTGGCCTCCAGTGTCGTCAGGCCGATTTCCCTCAACCTTTCTTCATAGGACAATCCCCGTAGCTCTGGGACTAGTCTTGTTGCAAACCTTTGCACTTTCTCTAATTTCTTGACGTGCTTGACTAGGTGTGGATTCCAAACTGGTGCTGCATACTCCAGTATGGTCCTGACGTAAATGGTATACAGAGTCTTGAACGACTCCTTACTGAGGTATCGGAACGCTATCCGTAGGTTTGCCAGGCGCCCGTATGCTGCAGCAGTTATCTGATTGATGTGCGCCTCAGGAGATATGCTCGGTGTTATACTCACCCCCAGATCTTTTTCCTTGAGTGAGGTTTGCAGACTCTGGCCATCTAAACTATATTGTGTCTGCGGTCTTCTTTGCCCTTCCCTAATCTTCATGACTTTGCATTTGGCGGGGTTAAACTCAAGCAGCCAGTTGCTGGACCAGGCTGCAAAAGCAGTGATAATGTGTGAGTGTGGTGAAAGTGTTGAATGATGATGAATGTATTTTCTTTTTGGGGATTTTCTTTCTTTTTTGGGTGACCCTGGCTCGGTGGGAGACGGCCGACTTGTTTGAAAAAAAAAAAGAAAAAAATATATATATTTTTTATTATATATATATATATATATATATATATATATATATATATATATATATATATATATATATATATATATATATATATATATATAAATACATACATACATACATACATACATACATACATACATACATACATACACACACACACACACA